AAGCTGTGGGAAATTATGGGGAATACTAAAAAAAAAGTGGGTAAACTAATTGCCTGTGAGCAAGCAGTCCAAACTTGGCCCAAAGTAGCTCAGACCAAGTGGCAGGGCCAGGGAAAGCATCCAGCTGAAATGGTGAAATAACTTTATACAGGAATGGGGATGTCCTAGGAGCAGCTTCCAGGCAAAGTACAAAAGGAACCAAAGTTCCTTTTGGTTCTACAGTGAGCATACACCCCTGGGATATATATATATGGGAGCCCAGCTCTGTCAGGTGCTGGGGATTGTCAATTTTCATTGACTTGAAGAATTGGGATCTAGGCATCTTATGAAACAGAACCTACAGCACAAACACACATAATTGGCAGAAATAAAATGTTTGTTACATCTGTTTTTTCCTACTATGTTAATTTTATAATGTCTCACAAAGAAAGCTTCTAAGACTTGTAAATAAAAAGAGACTGCTAATATCCACTGGATGTTCATTGTAGAAGGTACTGCATTTTTATCTATAAATATATTTTAATAAAAACCTGAAAATATAGCATATGTTATAGGTAGGCTTTAAAAATACCTTATTTTCTACCAGTCATCACGCACTTAGTATTGTATTTCTTATTTTGCCACCGAACTCCTATTTTCGAGGCCATTCACTGTTTACCACTGCTAAGTGCTTGTGTTTGTTAGGCTTTTTTTATAACTGACACTGTAGGTGTAAAACCTGGCTGAATTATCTATCCCTATGTTGCCTAAAGGATATTTTATTTTAATGACTGTATGTGTTAAGTCTTCACATTATTCTTGGATGCTTTTGCCTGTTTTAAAACACGCCTGTCTGCAGCGTTGAACGTGCTCAAAAGGTAGCGATGTAGCAGTGAAGCAGGCTGCGAATGTTTTTGTGTTTTGATTCTGAACATACTGACACATAAAGAGGACTATCCAGGAGGTATGTCTCACAAGGCAATGACTACTCTTACTTCTCCTGGATGCAGCACAAAAAACCAGGATACTTAACAGAAAGCTTAAAACAAGCCATGATGGTTATCTTCTCTTCAGAGTAAAATGGAGAAAGAAGTACTTGCAAACTGTTAAGCTACTGCTTGAAATTCTTTTTTTTTGCTTCCTCCCACTTTCTTCCTCCCCATTCCTCATTTGGTCTGTAGCTTACCTTTTACGGGACTGACTTCAGGCTTTTTGGGTTCTGGCCTTCTCAAGTGCTTGGGTAGTGTGTCATTCTCCTGATGCCATTTTTTCAGGCATTGTGGCTTATGGATAGTAATAGATTTTGTTCCATACTCATGGCCACATAGGTAACAAATCACTGCTGGTGGCCCTCTTATCACCTGTGCCTGCAAATAACAATTGTGAAGAAGAATAAATACTGTTTTCAACATTAATTTTGAATCAGAACAACTTTGGATGAAAACAATCATGCAGATTAAGAAACCGATTCATATCTGTGAAATCAGTGTAACTGTTTTTATCAGTTTTGTTTTGTCTGGATTCAGTCTTGAAGCTTGTAAGAGATATTTCCTTAATAACTGGCCAACTGGAACAGGTAGGCTTCTTTTGCAGGTACTGGGCTGAAAATTGATGTATGTCACCTAATTAATACTTAGCTATGTAGGTTTGACTCTTTTATTTTCACACCATCAAGTTCATGGACATGCTGAGTCTTCAAATGCAGAAACAACTCCTCTGCTTAATCAGGTTGCTGCAGCACAGTGTCCATCTTCAATGTTGAAGCCCCTTTTTTATCTACCAAACAGACATAACGTGGAAAGCAGCAACAAAAGCTTCCTCAGCTGAACTGCTGATGTCTACTGCAGTAGCAGAAAAACCCCACCTCCAGTTAGAACACGGTTAAAGCACTGTGTCCAGCTTTTGCATCTCTCTTAAGTTGGACAGTGAGGGCAGCTGTCTCAAGCTTGTGATTATGGTTCCTAACCCCATGTTACTTCTGCCACAAATCAGTTAGCTGGTAGAATTCTTGAAAGATTAAAATGGATCCAGGGTATTTCATGTTAGGGGGCCAAAATAGCAACTGATGCTTGTTGATCCTGAAGGCCTCGGTGTGAACTTTGCCAGTGACTGCAGCGAGGGCAGAACTGAACTCTAAGCAAGCCATTGTTTCAGCACTGCAGATCTGCTTTTGTTAGCAGAGAAAAACAACTCAACAGAAGAAAAAAACCCCTCAACCTCAAACCCCACAAATACATATTTCAAGCTTGAAAAATATATAACTACTGTGGTATTGCAGATTATGGACTTGACTGTGTCCTTAGGCACGTCCTGGGTTAGGCGTGGTGTCAGTACCAGCCATTCTCCAGCAGTAGCATAAAAACGTACTGCAGAGACAGCACGTCAAGGCACACTGATGGGTCTCTCAGCTGCCAGCACTTCCTGCACTCCTGACTGCAGAGTATCAGTCAGAGGTGAGCTATTCCCTGCCCTCCTAAAGGCAGAGGGACAGCCATGCCAGACCAAACACGGGAAGCCTTTCTCACTGAAACAAGGGAGGTGGGGATTTCATTTTTTGCTCTGCTGCTGTGTAAGACAAAGCATAACCTGTTCCAGTATTTATGACTCTCTCTGTCAGCCCATCAGTATATTCAAGAAAGTCTGGGCAGCTCTTCTCACATTCATGCTACAGTCTGAAAGTGTCATTAGTGAACAATCTGCATAGGCTTTCTTTCCTGTGTCACACATGTAAACTCAATTACATGAAGAAATACTACTCTACAAAGTGTATTTTTGCTGGGAAAAGCTGGACTTCATCTGGTAAGTTCTCACAGTGAATTGAAATGTAACTTATCCAAAGACAGTCTTTCCAAGGACATTTTTGTGCTCTCAACTTTCAAATGGAATTTCCCTAGCCATCTTTGATAATAAGGTATATTTTTAATATATATATTTTTAAATATATATAACCTTCTTTTCCTATTCATAGCTGAATATAGCAACAGCAGTTTTAAGAATGACCTCTAATTTTTCATTGTCAATTTTCACCTGCTTCCTTACTTCAGCTCTTGAGCTGCACCTTGTCTGATTTGGAGATGAGACTCTGGTTCCAGATACAGAATCTTTTGAAGGCAGTGTATGTTTCTTTGCAGGCTCTGGAAAGACTTAAATAAGTATACTATAGTCTAAACTCTTGAGGTCAGGGGACTCATTTCAGTGTGCAGGCTTGTTATGGGTATACTTATGGCATTTTAGAAATGGTTTTCCAAAAAAATGCTAGGTGTAAAAACACTGGAAACACATTTTCCTCTCTAGTTTTCATTAGCTAAGTTCCTGCCATTCAGTAAAACAGACGATTTATTGGCTGAAAACTAGGAAGGAACAATTTGATTTACTTTCAGTTTGTAGGGACTCTTTATATACTACCAGCATGGGAAAAAGGAATCCTAGTACAAATAAAACCATGCTCACTTAGCCTGCGCTGTCACAATCAGTTCCACTGTATGGGACAGTATAATAAAAGCAAATGTATAGCTTCAAGAAGACTTAAATTCCTGATATAAAACAGGTGAAAAATAACTTAAAAAATTAAATACTCCCCCAAAATTTAACAGAGGTACAGATATACCATTGTTAAAATCAAATAGTTTTTTATCTTAAGAAATATTTCCTTAGTAAACAGAGATAGCCTTTTATCTCTGACTGCTTTGTTCAAATATATTACACTTGTTCTAAAGTCACTGTGATGTCCTATTATTGAACAGCTGCCAGAGAGCTGCAAGACAAAAGTTAGTGATCTCCATCCAGTGCAATCTGGATACATTTCCATAGTTCTGAGACGGTCTTTTTGGTAGTCTCACCTGGAAACCTAAAGACTGAATAAGCAGTACTGTCATCCCTCCAGATCCTGACAGAGCATTTATGGGTGGGTTTTGTGTTGTGGCTGAACAAAACCAGGCCTTCAGGTAAATAGAGGATTCTGTTTTCCAAAGTTATCGACTGGGATTGATTCATAACTAAATCCTATTTGCTGAAAAAAATATTTAAGAAATCTGTTCAAGTAGAAATGTCTCTGTTTTATAACTTCCACAGTTAAAAACTATGCAGAAACAATAGCAGAGACCAGAATTAATTAAAAGGATTCAGATCACTCTAAGGATGGAATGATTTTTTCCAGAAATGTAGTGAGTTTGAACCATCACCACACATCAAATTATATACATAAATCCTTCTCTGCAAATACACACATGTTGTTAAAAACTGAAAAATAAAACTTGAAGGAGAATACCCTTACAGTTAGTAGTAACAGCTCTTTTGTTGCTTAACTGTGGAATCCAAAGTATGATAAGCTTTATCTGGAATTTCCACAGCTGATGGTATTTATCCTTCATTTCTTTTTCTCTTCAGAGTGTGCCTATCCCAAGTGTCACATCTGGAGGCCTGCAGTTTGAAACTAAACTATTTTTGGAATCACCACAATTTTCCAACCCAAACTACTCACAGGCCAGTGGCTAGGCTGTCTGCTCACTGCTTTGTTTTTCACTTTTAAAAAGGGTTGTAGGGAAGGTCTGTTCCTGAGGATATATGTTATTATAAAAATTCCTACAAATACCTAGCAGAGCAGTAGGCTTTCCTCTGGTGTCTCAGTATTTTCTTCTTTCTCCAAGACTGCTAAGTATGTCTGCATGACCATGAATGAAGTTATTTAGCTCAGAGGGCTACGCAACTATGTATTTTCAATAGACCTGACATTACTTGAGGTTAGCCCCAGGCTGCTGTTATGGTGTTAAATGAGGTCAAATCCTCCCATGCTGCACAAAGCTTTTTCTTTTTCTTAAGTACACCCAATAAGACTGACTCTTAAACTCCTCTCCATAAATATTTATCATCCAGAGCTGCACATACCTCTGCTTTTCTTATTTGTTTAATTATCCATGTATTTTAATGGGAGGAACAGAGGCCTCCTGCTCTAGGCCAGAGCTCTCGTCATGGGCTTGAATAGCACAAGGAACAGAGGCTCAGGAAAAGATTGGTACAAACACTTAGCAACAGCATCATGTTGTATGAAAGCATCCCTTTCCACACATTCCTCTTTGGAAAGTAAGAGGCTTTTTGCATAAGGGACAGGGACAAGCTGTTGCGTGGTTCTGATGACCATCCAGGGGTGCATTCCACAGCTTTCTGGAGTGCTTTCAGCCACTGCCCTGACACAACAGCAGACTAAATAATGTTAGAACTGGTCATGTGACTGTATATGAAATTTCCTTAAACAGCAAGGTAATTCTGACAGATGATGCAGATAATTAAAGATTTTACTCCACTGGAAGCACTAGAATATTCCATTTTACTTCTGATGTGCTATCTTTTAAAAGAAATATACCAGTATAATGAACATGGCATTTGTGTAAAAGCAGAAAGGTAGTAAGCTCAATTGTTCCCAGTGACAATAAGTTTCATTCAAATCATTTATTCACTGTCCATTCTCATCTAACTTCTTATATTTGCAAATATATTTGTCAGTATCCTCCTGGTAAGATGTTCAAAACTGCTGCAACTGAGGCAAAGAAAGTTTATCATTGATTTCTCACCTTCATTAGAATTACACAGCATTTAAAGTCTTCATTTTAGCAAGTGACTAGATGGCTTTATGCTAAAGCAAGATATAACATCAACATTTTGTTGTTACACAAATTTTCAAGACTTATGCTGTGTTAAAATGCATTACCATACAGTAAACGAAGATCACAGAGATCTTAAGTGGTTAACTTGATAAGAAGAAAACAGCAGATGGCAGCACCAGATGCTAGTGAAACATCTGATAGGATTTTAGTATCAGCGTTATCTGTTGTCAAAAAAAGTGTAACACATATACCCACAGCAAGTCATTAATACTTGCTTACTTGTAGTAGACATTTTGGTCTATGAAAGAATAAAAACCACAATCTGCTCTAATGTAAATCTGAGTTTCAGTAGTTCCAGACATCACTTTCATTCTGGGTTATCATGGCAGAATCCAAAACAGAATTTCTGAGCTGATGTGATCCTTGAGAGTGTCTTAGGCGTAGGTTGTTGTTTGTTTCACACAGCCAGCCATGATTAACTCAGCTGTGTTCATGCATTCTGAGAGCAAGGACAGTTAGTGGAAGCAATGGTTTATGGAGGCTGTTGAGTCTCCAGCTTGACAGGCATTTAACATCGAACTGAGTAAGTGTCGGTAATGATACTCGTTTAGTTGATCCTGTACTTGCTAAGGGAGAGAGAGCTCCAGGACTGAGGCACACAGGCAAAAGTGCTTGCAGTTGTAAAGTTAAAATGCCCTTCACATGGCCTACCACCAAATCAGTCAGATCTTTATTTTTAAAATAAGGAAAATACAGCTTTTTAATTAAGGACATCTTTCATTCCATAAATTAATGTGATAGTAGTGTTACAATTCTTGAATATGCTTCTATAATGTTTAGGGTGTTTTTTCGGTTATTCAATCACTCTGATGTTTTGCTGAATCAGGACTTTAAAGTGGTACTTAAATAGTTCACTGTCACAGTGAGTAGGTCTGTTACGTAAGACACGGACTGCCCCAAATGTTTTCCTGCCAGCCGGAAAGCAGATTGCCATTTCACTCCACTACTGGTATTTTTTAACAGAATTAATAAGCAGCTGAGTAGAAGGTAAGGTGAGCAAAGTTAAAACCATATGCTGGAAAAAGATGAAGACTGTAGAGGAGATCCAGACCCTGCCCCTGTTCATAGCAAATCTGCAGTTGTTCCAGGAATTTAGTGCTTTTCAACAGCCTTCAATGTGTGGACATTTCAAAACTTTCAACTGGAGATGGAGACCCTCACACAGAGAACTCAAACCTATGGAAAAGAGGCTTCCTTTGACCACTTTTTAGAAGCAGTCTGCCAGTTCTAAACAGTCCCTGGGATCACAGGCTATTTCTTTCCCTCTTTCCATTCCTACCTCTGCCTCTAATCTGTACCTCTGTACAAAAGGACAGCTTCAAAAACAATAAAATAAGGGACCTCAGAGAGGTAAAATCCATCATCCCTTCCTGAAGGTCACTGTTCATAATAAAGTCCTTGACAGTCAATTACAAACTGCAAGCTGTACAGCCTCACTAGTTCTGCTGCAACTGATGAACTGTAACTGCTTGGAAGTAAATGAGGAAACCTGTTGTTCACACAGAAGGAAGAACAGATTCGAACACAATTCATTCTGGCTCTGCAGAGCTCACAGAAGTAAAAAGTGGTAATAATGCTGTTGTTCAACAAGTCAGCAGATGTGATTGAATCCACATAGGGAGCAGATACGTTGTGCAAGAGGGAAACATTTTACAGAGTCACTCGCAATGCCAAACCACACTCTAAACTTTTTTTTCTTTATGACATTTTAACTATGGACAATCCCCACCCCCCTTTTTTTTTTTAAACATATACAACTATGTGTGATGGATAAAAGTCTCTACTTCACACCCATGCCTTTAGAGCAATGCCAGTTCTTTGGCAAATGGTACAACGTAGTATAACACAACAAGAACATCTCCTTTCCTACAGCTACAGATGCACCTGTGCAGCACTTTGAACTGTTTGTGCGTTATTTGAAATTTGCTGATAAAAGGCCCCAGGAGTGGACCTACTTTGCCAATATCTATCAATTAGCAGCCTCAGATAGCATAACATAAAAATGCTTCACATTGTCTTTATTCTCATGTTTGTTAGGGTAATGCTATTATCTCCATTTTATTCAGCAGCTGGAAAACTGAAATACATCATGCTTTGACTTTGAAAATGTTTTTACAAATGCTCTGCATAGCATTGCATTCCTTTGGTGACTAAGAAAGCTAAATGGCATTTTCAAAAGTAACGTAGGCAATCAGGCATCCAACCCCCACTGAAAAAAAAAATAAAACCTTTTATTTTCAACATTGGGCCTAAATTTAGACGTTTATCTTATAAACTCCTGGCCAAAAAGACAGCTTGTGCAGAAACAAATGCAGAAAAAATATGCCATTTTCCAAAACTTTGTGTAGCTTTTGGATAATGTGAATCAGCTTCTTTATTCTTGGCTCTTGAATCAAATTCAGTGGAAAGAAATGTGCAGTCTTATTTATTTTGTTGTTATACTCTGAGTTGCTGCCTTTGAACAGGCAGTCCTCAGTAAACTCATGTTTCACACCAAGGTTAAGAACGGTAAAATATGAAAATCACTGGAGTGCTTACAGGATAATGAAACATTGTATTTCATGTTAACTATATAATAATACCTAATACCTGCTAAAACATATAACATTCAAAGCTTGCCTAAGCTGCTCAACAGAACCTCCTAGGGAACTGTATCACACAGTGGTCCCTTTTGGGGACGTAACTCTCACAGGACCACAGCATATAAGAACCCAACTACTCCCTTTCAACAAGGAAATCGAAGAAATTGGAATAAGTAGTTTCCCTTACACACACAGTATTCTCCTTTCCTTTACCTACTATTCAGCAGAGAGCCATTTGCACGGAGCCAAAAGATCCTTCTGAGGGAAAGTGATTTTAAATTTGATGGGAACCCCCTCTCCCCTGGAGTGCCTGGCATCAAAATGTGCCCTTTCATACACCATGTGCTTAGCAATTTACCTTGTCTAATATGGCTGGGGGGGGCCCACCCATTGACGGGTCTTAGATGGATCATCACTTGCTGAGCCAGACCCAGAGCTTGGGCCTTTACCAGATTTACGGGGACTAGAGCTTGACAGGCCCACACCGCTGCTACCGCGTCTACATTTTTGGTGCACAATGAGATGGTCAGGAAGGAAGGTTCGGCCACAGTTTCCACAGGGCAGGAGCTGGGCTTGAGCAGAATGATAAAGGCCCACATCGCTGCTACCGCGTCTACAACATTTTTGGTGCACAATGAGATGGTCAGGAAGGAAGGTTCGGCCACAGTTTCCACAGGGCAGGAGCTGGGCTTGAGCAGAATGATAAGCTGCCTCATTTTCAGCTCTCAGTGTACAGGAACCACCAGTAAGGACCTCAGGTTTCCTGGGCTCCTCTCTTCTGAGAAGCCTTGGTAGCTGATTGTTTTCAGTACGCCACTTCTCTAGGCATTGGGGTTCATGTATAGAAATAGACTGTAACCCAAATTGTCTGCCGCAGATATAGCATACTCTGAAGTAAGGTCTTCTTGGTGGGATGACAGGACGATTCAGTGGCATTTGAGACATGTTTGAAGAATCTGATCGTTTTGATACTATCACAGTGTCTGGTCACCTTTTCTGGGGTCCAGCTTCTAGATATACTAGTTTGGGCAAAATTCTGGGAAGATCTGACACGTTAGATGGTGAAACCTGCTCTGAAGGCAAGATGCTAGAGACACTAGCAGGGGCCTCTCCAGCACTTGGCAAAGCGTCACAGGTTTTGTTCGCATTCTTTTTCTTTACATTTGTTTCCATGAAGTGTACGACATTTCAAGAAACTTCTCTCTCACATATAAAGGGCTAGGGAAACTCTGGTATTCAGCATGATGTTCCATCTTCTTAATTCAGTTTCATGGGCCGGAAAGTGCTACATTATCCTGAAACTAATTAAATCAGTACATATTAATAAACGTCATCTCTCTTGTTAAAGTTACCAACCAGTGGTTTATGACAAGGATCAGTTTACCTTACTATTGTTATATTTTCAAACAGCAGACAAATAACATCAAATATATCCTACCCATAATGATCATCTGAACAATGTAAATCTGAAATTCTGGTCTCAGAAGGTGTTAAGTGATGAAGGACATGAAAGAAGATGGGTTTACACAAGGTGAAGCTGCTGAAATATGTTTTTTGAGTATAATCAATATGCTTTATTTTCAGTTATTGACAGAACTGGTATTTCTGACACAGTCTTTAATTTCTAAGCCATTTATGTTGATAGTTAAACATAATTTCCCTGTTTCAAGAGAAATTAAAATAAATCCCTTAGTAGAGGGGTGTTCATGTCCAATCTCCAAAGGGACAGTCAGCAAGGAAAATGTTCCCAGTCTGTAGGACGAAGGGAATTATTAGGTCCTTTTACTCAGCACTTGTGAGGTGGTATCTCAAATTCTCTGACCAGTCTTGATTCTCCCAGAACAGGATAGAGATTAATAAAATGGAGCAAGTTTACCAATAAGGGCTACTAAGATGCTTTGGAGGCTGAAGCACATGCCATATGAGGAGAAGTTAAGGGCACAACAATTTTTTAGTCTTTGTTTAGTGCTAAATATATTTCAATTTTTCATTTTCAATTTTCAATTTGCAGTCTATCTGTATACAGACAATTTCATGTTGTATTACTTAAATGTTCATTTCTCACAGACACAATATTTTGTGCTGATCCTCCAAGGATTAGAAAATAAAATTCAGACTGTAAGCATGTTACAGCAGAGGCTCTTGTTTTATTGCAAGAATACAAAATAACTAGCAGGCTAGCTTTATTCATAAGCAAGAGGTTGCATAGACAGGCGACTGCCAAGGACAGCAACGTGACCATTGTCTACTTCATCTATAAGAGAAGAATCAGCTGATTAGTGCTTATTTTGCCACCAAGGATGGAGTCAAGGTGTAATGGCCACTGCTCTGTGGTTGTCACCAGGTTCACAGGATTAGTCATCCTCTTGTCAGGCACACAAAGATACTTACATTGCTGCATTCACACTGCTTGCTTAAATATTCACAAAGTTGCATATTCCAGGGACACTTGTGACACTTTCTCATTTTACAAAATCTCCTGTGAACCTCAGATTTGTTTGTATGCAAATTGGAAGATGTGAAGACTGTCAGAGCCAATCTGTGATCTGTACTGGAAAAATCTCTGTGAACTTGTATGTTGCAGTTAGCTGTTAAAATTCTTGAGGGACATTATACTTAGCACTCAAAGTTAACACCTCCTCTAAAACTCTGGATAACTGCAGTCTGTGGAAAAATAAAGTACAAACCTGTAGCATCTTCTCATGTCTGAAGCTATCGGATAAGCATATAATGTATGTTAAATATATAATATAATATCATGTCTATTAATGTATATTAAACATATAATCTATACAAAACTATAGCACTGGAATTCTTGTTTCAGATATCAAAAACCTTCTTTTTGTCCAACTTCTACACAATGTATAATTGTGAAATATCCAGTGGAAACGTGTACTACAAACTAATAGAGAAACAAAAGTTACAAGCAGTTTGGACAGCAGCAATCAATAATACTTGGGCAGCCAGCTGACTTCAAATTGTTGCTATCCTATTTTAAAGAAATAACTTTTGTCCTAACTAGTAATGTTCCCTTAATGCAAAAAACTTTGCTAACCATGTAGAAAGTATTGCAAAAGCTATTTGCACAACAAATCCCAAAGGCTTTCCCTTATTTTCCTTTTAGAAGGCCTAAATTTTCTAATCATAACTTTACAGAAGGCTGGTCAGTTTGTACCACAACTTACCTCTGCAGGAATCTGCCAGTTTTCACCAGACTGTGCATGTGATTCAGTTAGGTGAACTGTTCAACAGTATGTAAAATTTAAATTTGCAAACTAGCTTTGAGGTTACTCTACTACAAGGCCCTTTCAAAGACTGGGAGAATTTCCAAGGAGGGTGGCCTGTTGGATGAATGCAAGTTGGGAAGCAGCCAAGGTCTTTAGGAGGATGAAGGGAATGGAGAGTCAGGGAAACATTAAAGGTTCATGAAGGCAGGGGAGATAAGGGTTATTGGAGGGTCACAGGAAGGGAGCATCAGAAAGTTCAGCTACGTTTCAGGGAACTTCTGAACTTTGCAGGGTCCTATTTATATCCTATTTATTGATTTGTGTCAGAACAATACTTTCTGCTACCTGAGAGGATTCTTAAAGCAACAGTGGACACTGAACTGCCTGCCACATGAAGAATGTTAGGTGACTAAATCTGTTACCATTAAGAATGAATCAGTCAATAAAAGATGCCATAAACAACCTATAAACAATCTAACCTATTGTTGGATTTCCAAGCTTGCTATTGTAAATACTTCATAAGAGAATTATGCTTCCTTGTGGGGATTACACTTATTCCTGCCAAGTTGACCGTTATTATTTGGAAACTTCCTATAAATTCAGTGTGAAATGAAAAGGAGTATAAACAGTTCAAATCTTCTTTTCTCAAAGTCAGTGGTAAAGATCTGGAATCAGGATTGGCATTTATTAACATCTCTTTTCAAAACATAAATCTTCCTTACTCTTTTCTTTTAAAAATGTTGCAACTTGTTATTTAATAAAGTGGGAAGGTATGGTTGATCATTGTATACAGCTGTGGGAAAACATTCCTCTCCTCTGCAGTTCCACTGAATACAATATTTTAAAAACAATCCTATGAACTGCAGTGAGAGGGCACTTGCAACTAATAGATGAGTTCAATTTAATTAAAAGCAAGTGAAATACTATGGTTAGTTCAGCATCAGGTTGAGAGCCTCACTTTATCAAAAATAGAACAGAATGGCAGGAGTGCAAATAGCTCCAGTACATCTATCTTGTCCTGAAGAGGGAACTGAAACCCTTGCACACTGTTTTTAAGCTTATCCTAACCAGAAATTGCAACAATAGCATTATTATGCCTGCTTCAGTAATGCTGCGTTCTCTTAGCTGCCATGTGTGATTCAACCTACACAAGCAAGTAGAAACTTCTTCCCTGAAATGACCTTCTTTATGTCTTCTTTCATGTCAGTGTTGGAATTTGGAGGCAAAGTTGACACGTACGTTTCCTATTTCCTGTATGCAGCAGTTTCTGAAGAGTGATCCTCTCTGTTATTCATCTCTCTTGATTCTCTCATGTAAACAATTCCTCAAAGCCCATTATAAGTTCATTTTATAACCCTGGATTCCTTGACTGAATTGAACAAAACATACTTGCGCTAGCTGGGCGATTAAATTGGCTCTTTCCAATGAATCCTCAACATTACTGCTTTTAACTTAGCTAGAATTCCACTTGGACACCTCCCAGCTGAAAAAAACAAGAGTTTACCTTGTGGAAGAACACATTGCATGAAGCTTTCTGCTGTTAGGACACAACTGTCCATTCAATGGACAAAATACAGGCACAGTTGTGACAATTTGGCAAATCTGTTTATGTACATTTTATGAATGCTGACTGATATCACAACCTCTCCATGTGCAGCTGTATCAGACTGTAAACTCCATTTAAACTATAGGGCTGCCTTACTGTCACTGTTCCCATCTGCTAGCACAGAAAGGGACAAGATAAATCCTTGCACCAGATAAACACAGAGCTAAAACCAAGGTCACAGAGCTTTCAAGCTTATACATCTCAAACCCCTTGGTCATGCTTGACTCCCTCTAAAGGCAGAGACAATTTCCACATCTGGATTTAGGAGGAAGGACCATAAACAAGTGGCTGACATCCAGGAGGCTCTTTGGAGAATCATCCATAGTTGGAGAGTGCTTACAAAATCAGGACTCACATAATAGTTATGAGAGTGTCTGCATGGGTTGCTCTGCCTGAGGAAGTGTATGACAGGCCACAAAGATACATTAAATGAAGGGCAAAACATATGGTTCCAAAATGGCCGCATCCAAATACAACAGCCTTATGGAAGCCCAGCTATGGATCAGGCTGTCAGTGTCAAAAAAGAACACATTCATTCTAACTTGCAAAAAGATCCAGTATCTCAGATGCAGGAGTTCCTGGCTATGCAAGCTCTTATTTGTGCAAACCCCCACTATACCCTAAGCAATTTTCCCTTTGTTTGCCTTCAATACTACACTCAGTGTTGTATACTCATTCTGCCTCTTCATCACTCAATGCTTAAAGTCATAAGCTTTCTGTTTGTGACATCACAGTTTTTGTTATGTAGGTCATTTAATAAACATGATTCATGCAAGCTGGACTAAATTCACAAGTATTCTAAAGGAAAAGTTTTTCAATTGTAATACCTAATTTTACTGTTACGTGAATTACAAATGTCTCAAATACCTTTAAATAAGAAGCAACAAGCAACAACTAGTTGCACTACGATAGTGCCCAGAGATCCTGGTTTCTCAGTCTGGGCTGGACTGTGTAAAAAGGCAAAGGAGAACAATTTAGTGTAAGAGGACAAAAAAATACAGAAAGAGAGAGATGACGTGATCTGCTGAGCATAACCCAGCAAGTCAGAGAGAGAAGGAAACTAATCTAGATTTTCTAGCACCCCAACACTAAATCAGTCCAATCACAGGATTTTCTAAGGCTGTGTCCTGGTTTGGCTGAAACAGAA